CTTTGTGCTGTGACAGACATGACGCCGGTGAGAAGAAATAATGTTTTGTTCTTTTCGGGACCTCAACATCAGTAAGCGATCAGGCAGTTCCTTATAGGCAGCATTTAACATAAATAAGTGCTCGTCTAGGTCACAGTTTATCTGACATTTTTAGCGAGATATTAACTTAATTACATGTTCCACTGCACAAATACGCTGCAAATATATCTCCTCAAACATTGTCTCGTGAATCACCTATGAATATGGCACATCACCCAAGAAATCTGTTGGACGCTGACATTTTTTTTAAAGAACTGTTGAAAATGCATTATTTAGGATAGCCCTCAGCAATGAGTTTCAGGCCTTGCACGATATACTCAATGAAGAGGAAGCAACATTGGAGAACATTTGGAAAGGGATCAAGGAGGCAATCACTTCAACATGTCACGAAGTTCTGGGTCGCAGGAAGTACCATCACAAGGATTGGATGTCTGTTGGTACTCTTGAAAAAATTGAAGAAAGGAGGAACAAGAAGGCAGCAATCAATGTCAGCCGAACAAGAGCGGAGAAAGTTACCGCACAAGCTGCATACACAGAAGCAAACAGGGCAGTGAAGACGAGCATCAGAGCTGACAAACGAAAATATGTGGAAGATCTAGCAATGACGGCGGAAAAGGCTGCAGGAGACGGAAACTTGAGACAATTGTACGAAACAACAAAGAAGCTGGCCGGAAACTATCGTAAACCAGAACGACCAGTGAAAAGCAAGGAAGGCAAAGTAATCAACAACACTGAAGAGCAGCGAAATAGGTGGGTAGAGCACTTTAAGGAACTACTGAATCGACCAGCTCCACTGAATACACCCAACATCTAAGCAGCATCCACCGACCTCCCAATTAATATTGGCGCACCTACAATTGAAGAGATCAGTATGGCTATCAGACAAATCAAGAGCGGCAAAGCAGCAGGACCAGACAACATTCCAGCAGAGGCAATGAAAGCAGACGTAGAAGCAACTGCGAAAATATTTCACATCCTCTTCAAGAAGATTTGGGATGAGGAACAAGTACTATCAGATTGGAAAGAAGGATACCTGATCGAAATACCAAAGAAAGGCGATCTGAGCAAGTGTGAGAACTACGGAGGCATCACTCTTCTTTCAATACCAGGCAAAGTCTTCAACAGGGTATTGTTAAACAGAATGAAGGACTTCGTAGACGCCCAACTTCGAGATCAACAGGCCGGATTTTGTAAGGATCGATCGTGTACTGACCAAATTGCTACATTAGGAATCATTGTGGAACAATCAGTTGAATAGAACTCACCACTGTACATCAACTTCATCGACTACGAGAAAGCATTCGATAGCGTGGATAGGAAAACACTGTGGAGGCTTCTTCGACACTACGGTGTGCCTGAGAAAATAATTAACATCATACGGAATTCTTAGAATGGATTCAACCGCAAAATCGTACACGGACAGCTGACAGACTCTTTTGAGGTGAAGACCGATGCAACACAACATGCACCAACCAAATCACTCATGATGGAGATGCCTTGGATGACGTTAACACCTTCACATATCTTGGCAGCATCATCGACGAGAAAGGTGGATCCGATGCAGATGTGAGGGCGCGGATTGGCAAAGCAAGGGCTGCATTTCTACAGTAGAAAATTTTTTCAACTCCAAACAACTCCAAACCAAAATCAGGATCTTCAATACAAATATGAAGACAGTTCTACTGGATGGAGCGGAAACATGGGGAACTACGAAAGCCATCATCCAGAGGATACAAGTGTTTATTAACAGTTGTGTACGCAAAATACTTCGTTTTCGTTGGCCAGACACCATCAGCAACAACGAACTGTGGGAGAGACCAAACCAGATTCCAGAGGAGGAAGAAATCAGGAAGAAGCGATGGAAGTGGATAGGACACACACTACGAAAAGCACCTAACTGCGTCACGAGACAAGCCCTCACATGGAACCCTCAAGGCCAAAGGAAAAGAGGAAGGCCAAAGAATACATTACGCCGAGAAATAGAGAAAGATATGAGAGGAATGAACAAACATTTGACAGAACTGGAGAGGGAAGCCCAGGCTTATGCTGCATTGGGGGTAACAGGCGTAAGGAAAAAAAAGTAAGTAAAGAAAATTCAGTAGATTGTTCATTTAGAAAAAAGTGCCTGAACTTGGTTTGTCAGAAAAAGACTGTTATTAGTAATCTAATTGAGCACCATTAAAAAGTATATGTAGTAGCATTCCTAATTATTTATTCTTGCATACCTCATGTTAAACACTGTTATTTGAGAGATCTTAGGATCAGTTCCTTATTTGTACTCTACTATTGAAAATGGGGCTGTATTATACTGTTTCTGTCAGTGATATGTTGTAAATGTGCTATTAGAAACTGACAATTATACCTAATTTAACTGCTATAGCTTTTTCAGTATATCTGAAAGCATTTGTGACAATTTGATCTAGCCTGTATAAACTGACATAACTCTTGTAACGTAGTTATTTGAGAATAAATATTATTGTTATTATAATCAGTACATCTGTTTCACTAGAAACTGAGGTCGTTCTCGTCATTTTATCATAGATAACGAGCGAAGGTGAACCCTCTCTATGAGAGTAGATAGTTCCTAACATACATCACAACCAGCTTCAAAAATTTTTCCACCTAGCACGTTTTCCACTTTTCATTCAGAGTTCGCTCATCGGAGATCATTGCTTAGTGCCCATTGGCACCATATAGTCGAAGCATCGTAGCTCCAGACTTGCTGTTACCAGTCTGTAAGACAGAAGATTGGGTACGCGTGTCCACTAGGTACCTGAAATTTATGCCATGATCGTGTGCTTAAAACAAACGACAAACCTGGGGTGAGTGGAGTGTGGCAGTCCAAAATGTAACGACCTGCACCTCGAAATCTTTTATATTATAAGAATTTTCATGACTATCTACCATTTCCAGACGATTTTGTGAATATTTTATACGACAAAAGATATCGACAGCAACACAATCGGGAAAAATCAATAATGGGTTTTCCTCATAAAAAACACGGGTTCACCAGATGAGGTTATTCGAATCAAGGATGATTATCAACTCGTCTACAAATCAATTACGTTCGGGTTTTAAGTGTAGCCCCATCATGAAACAATAAGAAACGAGACCGGGAGAGTCCAGATTAAGTAAGTATATTTGCTGTCTATTTCGTGGAATCAAAGGATTCCGGAATCGTGTGAGAGAAAATGGGCGGATGGAACAGACAAGAAAAAGCAAGATAACGACCGCGCAAGAGTACGAATAAACAAAGTGTGTGGTAAAACGTTCACTGGTTCTGAGATGGTGGAGAAAACTTGTAGCTCAGGTGGATGATTGTGGTGGTGTTTTGTTCTCTGAGCTGATTGTTTTGGTTGTGGAGCTTTCATTGTTCTTCTGAACAACATCATCAGCACGAACTTCAGATAGAAGTTCTTCTTCACTGGTTCACTGGTTTTCATCGTAAAAGTGAAATCACTGCATGTAGTATTTGTCATCCGTTGATGAGTTATAGTGCTCGAGTGTCAGAAAAGCTTGTAAACGTAAAAGGTCAAGTATAAAGAAATATCTTAGCTATTAGATGTCACTAAATTTGTTGTAGCTATACGTTTTTAAAAACAGAGAATAAGGACTGGTTCATTCGTTGGGTCTCAACGAATCAAAAACAAACCTTTCGATATCTTGGGACTGGTGGGATCAAATTCTGTTGCGTACTGAGTTTTTTTCCTTGCACATATATATGCATATTATCCTAGGCATTACAGCTTTTTCAGGTATTGCATACCACTACTTCTAAATCAATATTTTCGAATATAGCTAAAGTCACTCAACGGGGATTCATTGAGAATGGTTTCAGAAAGTGGAAAAGTTGTTTAACATCATTCAAGAATTATAACCGCCTACTAAAAGACCCGTCTAATATTTCAACTGTTAAACATTTCACTACAAATAAAATTGGTGTCACAATTAGGAGATCATCAGTAAGCTTTTGACTAGATTAACTACATGATGTTTCTCTGGTCAAGGCAACTGAAAAAGCAAGGCCTTTAGTGTGAATCTGAATTATACTGACTAACTCATCTCACAATAAATTTAAACCTATGGGTCTTCTTAGAAATATTTAGATGCAACGAACGTTCGAAACTGTGATTAACACTGAAAAGTCCAAAAGGCATTGCATTACCTCGGAATTAAAATTAAAATTCTGTAATATGACATTGTCAGTTATATCATTTTATACTTTCAATAATTGAGCAAAGTAGTTGTTTTACTCATACGATTTATTCGGCCTCATTACAGAGCCTTGTTTGAACATACAAACTTTTCAAAGGGAATCTTACTTTTATAACTTTCGATTCCTGTTTTATAGCAGTTTTACTATCATCTTAGTATTACTACATAATGCCAACGGTTTCTTCTCCAAACAAACGTATGTCAATGCTCATTGTTTACAATTGATGCTGTTCACACACATGTTACTCTGAATGCATCTTAAGCGGATAGAAACAATTCAAGAAAAACGTGAACTGAGTCATATTAACGCAACAGTTGAGAGGTCTTTTGAATGTTTGCTTCTTCCATGCTAGAGAGTTTCACATGATTGTTTTAACGTTTTGTTTATTCATTTTGAGGTAATTATTTTAATTTAATCTCCATAAACTTAATAACTTAGAATAAGTCTAGTCACTTCAGGAAACTTTGATGAGCTCATTCTCATCGATCAGCCCGAGTTGTTATCAAGAATACCATCCAGCCGGTCGTGGGATCTGATTCTTCAAAACCCTTATGAGGTAAGTGTTCACCATAAGTTCTGAAAGTAGTTTTGCATAAATTTTAAGATTTCTAAAGATTTAAACATTTTAAAATTTACCTAATAAGAGGTTTTCACGAGTTCATTTATTATTAATATTGCCTGAATATTGCTGGTTGCAAAACTAAATTCTTGGACTGTAACTTTAAAGAAGGCAGTTGTTTTACGATTTCTAAGCCATCGTTATAGCAGTCATTAAATTCATGAGTTTATGAACTTTAAGACTGATTATATTGGCACTCTATGTTGTTGTAGCATGATCGGACGATTTCACTAGTCATAAGCATGGGAGTTTTAGCTCATTCTCTTTCATTTGATACTAATAGGTTATTACATTTTTAAAATGCGTGACTGTACTTTTCCTGTTTTTAAACGCATACTTTCATCTGATTTAAATCAGGGTAAGGACACTTTTCGGTTTCTACGTCGAAAACGGCCGCTGCACTGAAGCAGACCATAAAGCATCATAACTTTTATACATGATGTTAATACTTTGTATCTGAATGTTTAATCATCAGTTTCGTGATTACGCGTTATTGTATCTCACAGTATCTTTCAGTTTCGTGGTAATATAAGCCTGTGTCAGTCCTGAAGATAAGACCCTCTTAGTTTGTAGAAATTTCCAGTATGTCAGCAGATGGATTTGCGACTTTATGTTATAGTAAGGAGTCCTGTTTGTTGACTTAGCGGTTATAAAATCTCTAGTCAGCTTGAAAGTGATTATTCCTGCACTATTTCACGTTTCTCGTTGTTCTTTTAGATTTATTGCTTTTGAAAGCACGAAAAATGCCGGATGTTGAAACCATATATTCTCATCACTCAATGAAGTTGTTTATTAAGTTAAGAGTTGCACTTTCCACCAAAACCAGTCTTGTTTCATATTACTGAATTATTTTTCATGACAGTCAACCGTAGGACAGACATTGAAAACCTGTAACAAAATAAGGTTTCTGAGTCATTTTGTTATTACTACAGCTAATGACTTTGTTTAGTAAATTGTTCTCATACGACAAAGTAGTATGTGCTTATTTCTGAAAAGTCTTCGTCTTATATAGATACTTATGCATAAATTTTTGGGAGTTATTAGCTGGTTTTTCGTTTATTTTAAAGTTGATTTTGTTGTTGGAATATCACAAGTCTGAAGATTTAGGTAAATCAGTTTGAAGTTGTTGGTTATACATGCTTTACTGGCTATTCCGGTATCCCCATAGCATAGGAAAATCGGGTTACATACATGAACGCTTCTGGAACTTCGTTCTACTCATTATAGGTATTATAGAGTAAAATTCCCAGCTTGATTTATCCACTGCTTTCAGACACAAACACGTGAAAAAAGTATACAAGTAGCATAACAGTCAGACAAATGCTTGAAATTCCGTTGATAGTTTTTTAAAATGGTGTATTTCTATTACACATTAGAAACTCATTATCTTAAAATCCCATCACTCATCTCACAGCACCGAATTCTGATTTCTCAATGAAGTCTCTAAGATATGATCCGAAGTCAGTTTTTGAATGATAATTTTGTTCAATTGTTACATGATTTATCTCATTCTTCATAGATTTAGCACAGAAAATTTACTGAGAAAACATTTATTTAATTGTATATTTTACAAAACCATTTAATTTACATTTTATAGGGTGCAGTGGAAATTTCTGAATCACCTGTAGATCAATTCCAAATACTTATAAACATAAGTGGTAACCAACCAAATGATCACGAGAAACTGAAATATCGTCTGAGAAGTACAGAAGATTCACTTTTTGTTGAACTGGTATGTTTCACTGCAATGAAATATCCTAAGCATTTAACTTTGTAAGGTGATTCTTAACATTCTAGACACTTTTTCATGGCACAGATGTGTGAAACATTTTAGTGAACTTTAATTGAACCGCTTTTGGCTGTTTATGTGCAGTCTGACTGGGTATGTAAATTGTTAGTTTAGTTAAACTGGCTAATCACAATATAGACCTTTGAAAAGTCTAGATATTTTTTCCCAACTTGATTTCTACCTGGTCAATGAAGACTC